TTAAACCAAACGGATGCAAATTTCAAATTCCAAATGAACTTGACATATCAATTCTAAGAACTGACTATGCCAAATTCCAAACTCCAGATAGACTGGACAAACGAAATTTCTAATCCCATAAACTGGGCAAACAAACGAAATTTCCAAATCCCGTGAACCAAGCATCAATCGAAATTTTCAATCCCACGAATTGGGCACAAATTTCAAATTCAAGCTCGACAAATGCCAAATTCCAGATATAGTGGATCAACACCGAAACAAATTTCCAATCCAAACTAGGTCCAACATTAATTAACCGACCCAATAAGCTGTCTAATACGCCATAAGCAACCCAAACCAATCATAGAAACCAAATTGCTGTCCAAACAAATTTAACCGAAAATTCAGCTCATTCACTATGCTTTCAAAATTCTTAATGAAGCGGCCCAAAAAAAAATAAAATACTGCAGCACAACCCTCTGTCTATAGCCCCATAAGCAAGAACCAAACTCTTCATAGCCCAATAACCACACAATAAAAATACAGGTCCAACCCAACCAAAATAACTTTTGCCCAATTAAATCAACTGGCCCAATCTATCCAACTTCATCTTCTCCAGCTGCCTAGCTATCAGGGGATCCAGTTCCAACCTCTTTAATCTTCGTAGTCTCGAGCTTCTCCTCAATTTCCTTCCAATCTTGTTCCTTCTCTTTAAAAACATCTTCACTTGGCCTTGCCTCTCCGAATGGGTTATTACCCTTTGACTTCACCCCATTCTCACCTTTCTGCCCCTCACCCACGGGCATTGTCCTTGGTTGCAAATTTAACCTCGGCCTGCCACCAATCCCACTGCTCCCCTCCTCTCTTTTCCTCCCCCATGCCTTAGTTATCAGAATATCCTTTCCCAGTATCCAGGAGACAATTTCCGTCTTTGAAGAACACCTTTTTTTTCTACCGATCAATTTTAACCATTAATGTATCAATCCAAAAACTATTTTCCTATATAAAAGATCATCACCCTCTGCCTTCAAACTAGGACCTTTATTTAAACTCTTTTTATAGGATGGCACAGAACAGTTGATTTCATCCCAGCCGGCCATATGACAGAGTCGGTTAACCTAATAAGTTTTGTGCCGCTCGGTGGAGAATGACACCGTGCAAGTTTAACCCAAAATCAAACTCGCTCTGATACCATGTAGAAAACAACAAACCAAAGATGAAGAATGGAGGAGAAAGAGAGAAAACGAATCGATAGCAGCCTCCAAACTTAGTTGCATAATGTAAGATTATAATGGTTTTTATAGTGCAAAACTAAGGAAATATAATAAGACTAAACTACCCTTAACCTAATTAACTTATTACTTTAACACGAGAAACAATATCTTCATTTCATTTCCATTTGAAACGTCGTTTTTCCATGTTACTGAAGGTGAAATTCATTTAAATCCAGCGAAAAAAAATGTCTACAAAGAGGATGCTAATTATCCAAAATGCTTCGGAAGAACTTGGCTTCGAAACCTTGAGAGAAGCTGTCCTTTCACTTAGGCCCGATGACAAGATCATTGTTCTTGCAATTATACATCAGTCCTCATCCACTACAGTTCAAAGTAGAAAATTGCAAGATACAAATTCGTTGATTTGTCGCAAATAGATGTTCATAAGAAATAAGATTATATACCGAAAAGCATGTGAACATTCTTACAAAGTTGCAGATATTGAGAAAATGAGAGACATCAAAAAGGCAATTAAACAGACGCAGGATAAATATTCAAACTGTGCAGAGATTGAAGGGATTCAAATATTGGCTGAAGCACAACAGGTTATCCATCATAACCTTCAACTCATGCAATTTTATTGGCTTCAATGTTTTACCTTCAACATTGAACTATTTCATCTAAAATCTTAAGTTTTTCTTGAGTAATCACTGTCACGTTATCAAATAAATTATAAAAATATTTTTACTTATTGGATAATGCGGGAATAGCCCAGTGATTATATCCATTACAGATGAAAAACTTCCCAAGCATGCTCATTCAAATAATGCAAACAGCAAGTTGCAGCCCCAACCCCCACCAGTCTACCCAGAATTTGTGGATAAATTTTGAAATTTGATGGTGTATACAGGTTGAATTCGAAATAGCAGTTGAGGCGGGGTTTCTGAATGAGGTTGCGGCGGAGTATGCCAAGGAAATGCCAAGGAAATTGAGGCAACACGCGTGGTCCTTCCAAGGTATTATGTAATTTTCATTCTCTATGATATACACATCATGCCTTTTTTTCCTTCCTGTGAGTGTTTAAATGGAGAATAGTTATTCTGATGATGATGCTGAAAGAAAAACTGAGATGCTGCTGGAAGTAAAAAAAAAAAAAAAAATGATGTTGCTGGAGAGAAATTGAGATGTAAAAGAGGGGGTACTTTTAAGTTTGGCCATGTCAAACAATCAATTTTCCACTTTAACCAAAAAAATTTGACATTCACCACAAAAGCCTATTCTTGTATAAAAGATAAAAATACCCTTAAATGAGTTATACAATTACAAAAATAGAAATCTGTTAAAAAGACAAAAATATCCTTAAGTTACAAATTAAAATCCAAACACCTCTCAATTGAGATTTGAAAACGAAGTTACTCTTTTCATCAGTTTACTCTAAAACGATAAAAACTCTTTCATTTTTCATCCACTTCAACCTCAAAATTTCATAAACTTATCAGTTATCAACCTCAACAAAAATATTTCGTTGAATTTCAGTACTTTAATTTGGTAAGTATCTTTTTCTAATATTTAATTTTATTTTTATTGAAGTCGTATATTTTTTTAAATGGTAGAGAAAATAATATTAGAACCGAAATTCAGGCCTGCACCAATCTGACGCCGAAACTCCAAACAGTTTGTAACGGACAAAGACGAAAATGGTAGACGAAGACGCTATTATTGGTCCGTAACGGACCCATGATATGGTCCGTTACAGACCATATGGTTCGGACCCGGACCATTTGGCCGAGTCCGGATCTGCCAATGGGCCCAAATTTTTTTTATTTTTATTTTCTGAATTTATTTTAATTTTTATGTTAAAAATGTAATTAAATATGAAATAAATAATATATATATTAAGATAATTAACGAAATATTTAAAGATAAATTAAATAGAATTTTAATTTTTTTCTTTTTTACTTAAATTTTATATGTTTAGTAATTAAATATACGTTTCAAATAAATAATTGAAAAAGAGTAATTAAATATGAAATAAATAATATCCATTTTAAGATAATTAAAATAATTAAATATGGAAACAATTAATATAATTAATTGAAAAAAGACTTAAATAAAAAATCGAATAAATATTATTTGATCATGGTTCCTCCCCCCCCCCCCCCCCCCCCCCCCCCACCCACCAATTGATCATGGTTCCTCCCCCCCCCAGGAAATCTAAAGAATATTTTGCTATTTTAGCGGCATTGGATTTCAGATTACCTGAAAAGATTGTGATTTTCATTCAAATTCTTCTAATTGCATCTAAAAATGTTGAGTTTCGTTTTAATTGCACTGATTCTTTTTTTGTCACTAATTGTGTTCTGTAGAGTAAAAAACTATGGAACACTTCCAGAACAACAAGCTTGAGTACGTTTTTTATGATTACTATGATGTTGCTGATAATTTTTAATTCGTAATGCAAATATGGTAAAAGCATGTGTCCCAATCTGTTATTTCGAAGAATTTCAAAGGAAAGAAAATGGTCAATGGAAATGGACGAGTGAAGGAGAAGGGGTTGCTGCTATTTCGATAACAAAAAATACATCGTTTACAAAAATGTACAATGAAATATAAAACATGCTTAACGTCGATCTCTCTCAATACGATATGGAATTGAGATTTTTATTTCAAAAGCATTCAACAATTTCGATTCCACCTTTGAAAGTTACTTCTGAAGTGCAAATAGAGCATCTAATTCAATTGAACCAAGGTCGAAAGACGACTCCTATTTGCGTAACTTAGTTGAAGAAAAATATCCCCAAGGGTGAACATGAAGTTTTCGATGGAGAGAATCGTAACGAGAATGATTTTTGGGATACTGTTGAAATTGCTCGTGAGGATGATATGGTTATTCCCGGGACAGTTGCTACTCGCTATGATGTCACCGTTATACAAAAGATTTACGAGGAAGTTCAAGACAATGAGGATGAAAGGTCATTTACAAATCAGGATTTGATTGCTTTATCCAGACAGAGACACGAGTCTGGTGGGAGTTCACATGTTGGGTCGAGTACAGGTCTTCTAATTGTTCGCGTGTAATTCTTGATCATGAAGATTTACATGTCGATCAATTGTTTGACACTAAAAGAGATTTGCAAGAAGCTGTGCGCCGAATTGCAATGAAACATAATTTTGAGTTTAAGGTAAAAAAATCAAACAAGTCTACATACACAATTATTTGTGTGGACAACAATTACAGTTGGCGTTTGAGAGCACAAAGATTGACACAAATGAGTTCTTTATAGTTCGCAAGTATGTGCAGGAACATACTTGTGAAGTGGGTATTCGTCAAAATGATCATAGGCGAGCTCGATCATGATTTATTGGTTGACAGATAATGTACAAGTTTCAGGACCCATGGACGATTTACAGACCTACAGATATCATCAACGACATCCGTCAGGAGTATGGGGTGGTTATGAGTTACTAGAAGGTTTGGAAGGTTAAAGAATGTGCATTAAAAGATTAATGGGTTCGACAGAGAGTTATGCCAAATTGACCAGGTATTGCTACAACATGGTGAGAATTAATTCTGACTCGGCGTTTTTTATTGAAACTAATGGGTAAAATTGCTTCAAGTATTTTTTTATGGCTCTTGGACAATGCATTAGAGGTTTTCGAAATGCGATGCGACCTCTAATTCTAGTTGATTGTACAGCCCTAAAAGTTAGATATGAAGGGAAGTTGATTATTGCTACATGTCAAGATGCTAATATCCAAATTTACCCTCTTGCATTTGGCATTGTCGATGGAGAGATTGATCTAGCAATGTGTTGGTTCTTCACGAAGCTGAGAGAAGTAATTGAGGACATCGAGAACCTTGCATTTGTGACTGACCGGGGGCAGTCAATAATAAATGGTATAGCTAAAGTTTTTTCGGAAGCACATCATGGTTATTGCATGTATTACATTCAGAGCAACCTGAAGACTAGGCACCGGGGCAGTGACATCGTTGCATTGTTTAGAAGAGCTACAGAAATTTATGGCTTTGAAGAGTTTATGAAGTTCGTGGGCGAAATAGAACATCAATCAGAAAGTGCATGGTAATATCTATCAGATATAGGGGTCGAACATTGGGCACGGTCACATTTTTCAGGATGTCGATACAATATGATGACGTTGAATAATGCGAAGTCGCTCAATGCATTATTCAAGAAGGATCGAGAGTTACCAATTCTCGCAATGATTGAACATATTCGTAGCAAGTTGCAACAATGGTTTTATGATCGACGTGAGGAATCCCAGAATTGCACGAGTGTGCTAGCTTCGGCGCAAAAAGATCGACTATTCAAAACTCTGAAAGTGGCAAAAGCTCTATTTGTGGAACCACTAGATCAATTTTGCTTCTCTGTGAAATGCAGGCGTAATGTTGGATACATTGTAGACTTGAATGACAATACCCGCACATGTAGACAATTTCCGTTAGAGAGTTTGCCATGTGCGCATGCTGTCGCAGTGACTATGCATAGAGGATTTCCACCATACAGCTTATGCAGTCATTATTACATGGTTGATTTTTGGAGAGCAGCGTATACCGAAACTATATTTCCTCTATCAAATGAAGTTGAGTTGAAAGTTCCAGATTATATTGTAGCACTTAATAATTTGTTGCCACCTGAAGTTCCACCGCGTACTCCTAGATGTAGACAGACGTCTAGAATACCATCTACAGAAAAGTTTCCACAACTGCGTAAGTGCGGGAGGTGCAGCGCTACAAGACATACACGTCGATTTTGTACAAGTCAGATCTCACTAAACAATTAACCGACAAATGTGTAGTATCTATATAAATCATATGTATTCTCTATTTGTAAGATTTTTTTTATTTTCTCAATTTAAATCGGATGTAATATTTATCACATTGTTTAATTACTATTTTTAACAGTATATTTAAATTAAAAAAATGATTGATTTAAATATTGCGATTTAATAATTGATATATTGCAGCAGTTAAATATTTAATTGGTTATGTATAATTGGTTAGGTATTTCTTTACTTAATTATATTAATTGGTTAAGTAAAAAATTAATTATTTCATATTTAATTAATTATTTCGATTATTTATTTGAATAAAAATAACAGCACTTGCTTCGAGTTTTCATTTAAGTATTTCTTTCATTAATTATCTTTATTTGGCACGTATATTGGAATGTACGTATCTGTACAATCCATCCACGGCTTTCCGCACCTTAGCTATAGCCCAATCGCCCACTTCAACATGCACTCAGACAGAATATATTCATTCCCCTTGCTTAGGAGCTCGTGATGCTCAATATCTACGACACGAATAAACTCAGAGTTTAGGATAACTCGAGTAGGACTGTCATAAGATCTCGGGTATCTCCGAGCTCGATCGCGTAACAATTCCATAGCCAAGTTGATATGCTGAAATAAAAAAACACCAACAAAAAAGATAGAGCCGTTTAAGTAAATAAACCAACAACTTCTATAAACATAACAAACGGAAACTCAAAAAACTTACATCATCGGTGAGCCAAGCTGAGGTCTTCAGTACATCTTCGAACCACTTTTTAGCGTTGGGCACGGTCATATAGCCGATGGTATAGCTATCTCTGAAAAATGAAAAAAAGTTACGAAAAATACAAAAAAAAGAGTAGCAAAATCATAAAATACTTACTTGGACTTAAAGGATTTGAACCAATCATCGAACGCCTTCTGTCTGACCGGGTCGACATCGCGAAAAAGATTGGGGAACGTCCCATCCACAACCCCCCTTCTCTTCGCCTCGGCCGTGTATGGGGAAACGATGTACTATGACGGCAATCTCAATCTCTTACCGACTATCAGCTCTGGCACGTCATTAGCACGCTTCTTACCCTTCGGCGCCTCCATCGCCCCCTTCGACACGAATACTACATCGCCATCCGTCATCTCTGGCATCCTCTCGTCCTCCGCAACCCCCTCATTCCCCTCTACTACCACCTCTGGTGTCCCCTCCGCTACCTTCTCGGTTATCCCCTTCTACACCCTTGTCCCTCCCTCCACTCCCTCTATCTCGGCCTCTTCTGGCACCTCCACCTCGGCCATCCCGACCTCCTCCGGCACCTCCAGCCCCTCCCGACCTCCGACACCAAATAAAAAAACTCATCGATTCATGCGGCCATTGCCCACTAGTCTCGAGGAACACCAGTTTCCCTGACACTCCCTCTGTCATGTCTACTGTTAGAACCGCGAAAGCCTGCTACATTGCCTCGAAGTGTTGCAACCTCAGTATGAAGGTCTCCTATATCTCGTCGCAACACTCCAATCTCATCTTGTAGTGCTACTACCTCTGTCGTAAAATCTCGTCGCAGCACCCCTATCTCCTCTCGTAGTGCTACTACCTCTGTCATAAAATCACGTCGCATCGTTCCCAGCTCCTCTCTAATAATACCAGTCATGTGTGCAAAGAAATCATCTGAATGACGTGTCTAACTGGATGCAAGCGATCCATGTGGGAGGTAGGTGGGTACGAGAGACGGAGATCTCCTCAGAGAATGTGATAATGGCGGTAGAGGTGATCTCATCGGTGGAGGCGACGGAGATCTCATCGGTGGAGGCGAAGGAGATCTCCTAAGTGGAAGTGCTCGTTGTTCTACTGGATGACGCTCATACACAGAGAAGACAATTAATATTAATAATCCACACATGAATATTATAGGTCAGAATAAATAATGATCTTAAATAAACATACCCTATTTCTATCTGGAATGGACTCAAACACTGGATCGTTTTCAGTAGGTGGAACATGTAATTCACGTAAATATATTTGATCCTCCTCTTCCATCAAAACAACCAACTCAGCATGAATTTCGAGCTTACATGTCGTATTTCAATGTGTTAACGAGCATGTATCGAGTCGAGTAAATGTATGTACAATATAAATTGCAAATATATAATACTCACCTGAGGATCGTAGAGGATAGCTGTCAACTCTTTAGCCGATGGCTTCTTATGTGCTCGCCAATGAAGCATTCGTGGGCAGCTGGTCTCCCTTCTGATCGCCCATTTGCTACCCAAAGCGGGGATAGCCTCATATGCCTACAACTGCAACAATTAAAAAAAAAAACTTTACTTATACATTTAATAAAAAAATTTAACATGCATTACATTAAGTTGAATATTTACCTGCAAAGCCATGCAAAAGCCATATACATCATATTTGCGCTTGCCCCTCTCCGATTTCGACATAGTATGTACCCTCCTAAATACGTTGAGCGTATCGATGTAACATCTCCGACCCCATGAAAAGCTATTGAAAGAATCGATATCATCAACATCCAATCAAAAAAGGTCAATCGACGTCCTACGATGTTGACACCTCAATATACTCTCCAGTATATACACAAATCCTAACTTCAGCTTGTCTAACACGTGATTGCATCTCCTAAATGTGTCCTCTAACTGTGGTGGTGTAACCGGCCCTTTACCTCCAAAATATAAATCCAATAACCTTTTATTTGGTATAATACGAGCTCTCGCTTCTTCTCCAGTACATCTCAAGTCTGTAATGAGGGTAAATTCAAGGATCGAGAATCTCAATACCTTCCCATCCCCCATAGCAAAATAAAGCTGATTGTCATCGACTGGTTTAAGCAGCCGAAATAATAAAGAATCAATAATCTGTCCGGAAAACTTCACGTCCTTCAATGGATAGAAGGACCATAAAAACGATCGATGGAGTATGTCGATGTGCTCCTCATCCAGCCACTCATTCACTATCGCATAGCTGAAAAAATTACAATACGTCGTAACTTTTTCCAAATGAGTTCTCAAATCGTTGTTCATATGATATTCTATCCTACAAAAATAATACATGTTAAAATCATATACAAGAGATTATAAATAAAATATCGTATATTCATATTTAACCAATCATATTTCATATTAATAAAACAATAAATAGATTCATCTAATCACATATTAAAACAGTTAAACAAAAAAATTTCTACATATTTGATTATTTAATATTTCTTTAAAAATTATATTTTGTTAATTATCTGAATATATATATTATTTATTTCATTTTTAAATATTCTATTTCGATTATTTATTTGAATAAAAATAATAATATTTAATTTAATTTTTTATTTAACTATTTCTTTAATTAATTATCTTAATTGGTTAAGTAAAAAAATTATTATTCAATTTAATTTATTCTTTAAATAATTCGTTAATTATGTCTATTATTTATTTCATATTTAATTACTCTATTTCGATTATTTATTTGAATAAAAATAATAATATTTAATTCGATTTTTCATTTAAGTATTTCTTTAATTAATTAATTATATTAATTGTTTCCATAATTAATTATTTTAATGGTCTTAAAATGTATATTATTTATTTTATTTTTAATTACTCTATTTCGATTATTTATTTGAAATGTATATTTAATTACTAAATATATATTTAAGTAAAAAAGAAAAAAAATAAAATTATATTTAATTTATCTTTAAATATTTCGTTAATTATCTTAATATATATATTATTTATTTCATATTTAATTACTCTATTTTGATCATTTATTTGAATACAAATAATAATATGTAATTCGATGTTTCATTTAAGTATTTCTTTAATTAATTAAATTAATTGGTTAAGTAAAATAATATTATTCAATTTAATTTATTCTTTACATATTTGGTTAATTATCTTAGTATGTATATTATTTATTTCATATTTAATTACTCTATTTCGATTATTTATTTGAATAAAAATAATAATATTTATTCAATTTTTCATTTAGGTCTTTTTTCAATTAATTATATTAATTGTTTCCATAATTAATTATTTTAGTTGTCTTAAAATGTATATTATTTATTTCATATTTAATTACTCGATTTCGATTATTTATTTGAAACGTATATTTAATTACTAAACATATATTTAAGTAAAAAAGAAAAAAAAATTAAAATTCTATTTAATTTATATTTAAATATTTCGTTAATTATCTTAATATATATATTATTTATTTTATATTTAATTACGTTTTTTAACATAAAAATTAAAATAAATTTAGAAAATTAAAAAAAATTCGGGGTTCGAACCATATGGTCCGTGATGGTCCGTTACAGACCATGCTATTATGGTCCGTAACAGACCCATCTTGTTCGTAATGGACCGTCCCGGGACGGTCTGTTACAAGCTGGAGCTCGTCGGAAAACTCCATTTTCGACGAGCTCCGTCTCATTTTTTCACTTTTTTCAACATTTCAACTTCAAATTCGATCTTTTCTTCCATTTTAACCATAAAAAATTAAATTTAACTCATATTCAAATCATAAACATTCAAACTTTCATATATTCAAAGTAATTATTTATATGAGAACATGTCTAACCTTCCAGAAAATGGCTATCTCCGAGTGATCGAGGTGCGTCCAGTCTTGGTCGAAGTGGGTCAAGCCCGGGTCATCTGTAGGCGGCGTGGATCTAGACTACTTTTTTTTCTCTCTATTTACCTCTTCTCTTCTTTCCAAATGAGGGTATTTTCAACCCTTTAGATTTTGTTCACACTTTTTTTCTTTTTCTCTTTTTTTACAAAAAATTTGGTCAAAGGCCCTTATGAAAAAGTGGCCGGGTGGAGCAGCCATTGGCCACCATTTCCTCTGTAAAAGAGCTGAAAGTTCACTTCTTTATATAAAAAACGTTGTTTTTTTACATACATACATCCCCTTTGATAAGTTTTCAACTACTCTACCTACTACATAAGACTTCAGATTTTTACACCATATATTCTACAAAAAGTACAGACAACTTTGCTTAGGAGAGTGTATTCAATCGGGACTTTTGAAAACTTTCATGAACTTTTTTTAAATGATAACTTTTGTGGGCTTCGTGGATTTTTTAAAAATTTGTATGGAATTAATGGAAGTCTTTCGTAGATTTCTATGGATTTTCATTTTAAAATTTTTGTAGACTTTTGTGGATTTCAAAAGACTTTTGAAAACTTTCGTTTGAAATAGAATTCACATGAATTTGATATGAAATTCTCATATACGAGGTGTTCATTCCTATAATTCTCCTTTTCCTTCCCCTTTGTCTTCCCATGTATTAAAAAAAATTGAAAAAATAAAAATTTAAGACCTTAATTAAATAATTAATAATCAAAACTATACATATATATAGTTATTTCATATAAAATTTTATAATTTAATGAAAAAAATAATATCTTTCACATAAAATGAATGAAAAAAGAAAAAAAAATGTTATAAGAATCCAATTTTAATTTTTTCATAGAAAATCGAGATAAATAATAAGAGAGAGAAATACAACTAAATGAAATCTAATAAATAGAAAAAAAATAAATTTTAACACGTCCCTAGAAGGTTAAAGGAAAGAAAGATTGGGAAAAAAAGTTTTTATCTTATTTATTTTTATTTTTATTTTTATTTTTAAAGTCTCCCAAAATCTCGTGATTAATGAGAGACAAATTTTATGATTTTATATGATATTTTCTGTTTAAAAGTTAGTACTCCAGAAGCTTTTATAAAAGTCTCGAGAAGTCATTAAAATTTGAATACCCAAAGACTTTTATAGACTTCTAAAAAGTTTTAATTGAATACACTGTAACTTTTAGATACTTTTTAAAAGTCTATAAAAGTCTTAATTAAATACACTGTAACTTTTAGAGAGTCTAAAAAAGTTTCAATTGAATACTCATAAACTTTTTAAATCCCAAAAATTCATTAAAAGTCTCAATTGGATACACCCCCCTTAAATTAAGTTAAAACCATACATTACAAAAGTCATTGCATCAGTAAAAGTCACTGCCCTGTACAGCAAAAAGGTCATTATATCAACACTCCTCCTTGAGCATTTTGCTGGAGACTCCAAGCATTGATCTTAAACATTCAAATCTAACTTTAGGAAGAGCTTTTGTGAAGATATATGCAATCTGATTCTCTGAACAGCAATATTGAAGACTGATTTCTTCATTTTTCTTAGCCTCCCTCACAGCATGGTACTTGATCTTTATGTGCTTTGCTTTTCCATGATGAACTGGATTCTTAGACATAGCTATAGCAGACTTATTGTCCCATTAAATCTCTATAGCCTAATCTGGAATAAATCACATAAAAATTTTCTGAGCCAAATAGCTTGATTTGCAGCTGCTGCTGTGACTATATATTCTGCCTCGGCAATGGATTGCGAAACAACTTCTTGCTTTCTCGAATTCCATGAAAATATGCTTGAACCAAAAGAAAAACAATACCCCAAAGTGCTTCATATCATCCACACTACCTGCCCAGTCACTATCAGAATAGCCCCTCAAACATCCATCTACAGATTTTTTGAACTACACTCCAAAACCAGTGGTTTCTTTTAAGTACCTCAAGACTCGTTTTGCTGTTTTGAAATGGATATCACTTGGAGAATGCATAAACCTTGAAAGAAGACTCATTGTAAACATCAAGTCTGGCCTTGTTGAAGTCAAGTACAACAAGTTTCCAATTAAACGTCTATAAGTACCTTCATTCGCCTTTCCTCCCCCATATTCTTTTGAAAGTTTTTCATTAACTCCAAGAGGCACTTCAGTTGGTTTGCAATTTTCCATCTTAAATTTCCTCAAAATTTCCTCCGCATACTTGTTTTGAGAGATGAATATACCATGGTCAGTTTGATTAATCTCCATGCCAAGAAAGTAGCTCATAACTCCACGATCTGTCATTTCAAATTATAGCTTCATTTCATCCCTAAAGTTTTTCATCTCCATTTCATCTTCTCCTGTTAACAACAAGTCATCCACATATAGAGAAATTATTAAAACAACTAAATTTTCCCTCTTTTTTACATAAAGAGTGGCTTCATTTTGACTTCTTTGAAATCCTTTTTGTTGAAGATAACCATCAATTTTGCTATACCATGCTCTAGGTGCTTGTTTTAAATCATAGAGCGCTTTTTTTCAATTTGTAAACTTTGTCCTCCTTTCCAGCAATGATGAACCCCGTTGGCTGCTCTACATATATCTCATCCTTCAATGTGCCATTCAAGAAAGCAGATTTAACTTCCAACTGATATACTTTCCAACTCCTCATGGCTGCAAGTGCAAGTAATAGTCTTATTGTTTCCAATCTTGCAACTGGAGCAAATGTTTCACAATAGTCAACTCCAAGTTTTTGTGAATATCCCTTTACTACAAGTCTTGCCTTATGCTTGTAGATTGAGCCATTCGAATTCAATTTTGTTCTGTAAACCCATTTGACTCCAATGACTTGTTTATGAGTTGGTTTATCAGTAAGCTCCCATGTTTTATTTTTTTCAATCATCGTTATTTTATCTTGCATAGCATCTCTCCATTCTTGACCACCAGCTGCTTCTTTATAACATGTGGGCTCAATCATAGCCATTCTACAATTTTCATAAATCTCAGCCAACGATTTAGTTTTTTGAACTGGTGATTCGGAAGAAGTAGCAGAAGAATTATCAGATTCTCTATCTGAAATTTCAGGAATGGGTTCTTCATTTTCTGTTGCAACTATATCTTGAACCTCAATACTAGATTGCTTTTCAACCTTTGCCTCTTCCCAATTCCAACTAGCATTTGCATCAACCTTTACATCTCTACTTATAATAATTTCTTCCTTTTCAAGGTTAAAGATTCTATAACCTTTTGATTTAGAGTTATACCCCAAAAAAATTCCTTTCTTTGCCATTTCATGAAGCTTATCTCTTTTCACATTAGGAATATGAAAATAACATACTGAACCAAAGATTTTGATGTGACTTGCCGAAGGTTTTGTTCCAGTCCACACTTCAATTGGAGTTTTATCTTGCACAGCCTTAGTTGAAAGTCTATTTTGCAAATACACAGCGGTATAGACAGCCTCTGCCCAGAATTTCTTAGGAAGTTTTTTTTTTTTTTTCCAAAAATCATACATCTTGCCATTTTCATCACTGTTCTATTTTTCCTTTTTGAAACACCATTTTGTTTAGGCGTATATGCCACTGTTAGTTTCCGTTCTACACCTTCATCTTCACAAAATTTATCAAATTCTTTTGATGTATATTCCATTCCCCGATCTGACCTCAACTTCTTCAACTTGTAACCAGTTTGAGTTTCCACCAGATTCTTGAATTTTTTGAAAATGGAGAAAACTTGATACTTTCTACTCCTGAAATACACCTATGTCATTCTTGAGTAATCATCAATAAAAAGAATGAAATATTTGTTTTCACTCAATGAAGGAGTTCGCATTGGTCCACAAACATCAGTGTGGACTAGTTCCAATTTTTCCCTAGCTCTTGCACCACTTGAGGGAAAAGAAAGTCTATGTTGTTTTCCCAATTGGAAACATTCACATACATCTTTACTCAAATTTATGAGAGGTAAATCTCTAACCATTCCCTTTTCATAAGAAAGTTTGAGTGATGACAAGTTAAAGTGCCCAAATCTTTTGTGCCAAAGCCAAGTTTCATCAAGATTACTTCTATAAGCATGTGAACTAAGGCAAGAAGAACAATTTAGTGGAAAGCTGTGATTTTTCACTTCAACATTAAATAGCTCTGCTCCACATGAATCATCTATCTTACAACATTTATTTTTAAACATCAAGCAATATCCTTTTATCCATCATTTGAGCCACACTTAAAAGATTTTGATCCAAATTTGGAACTAACAAGATATTTGAAATAAGCTTAGTACCTTTACCTGTATGCACAGCAATAGTCCATTTGCCTTTAGCATTGACATATTGTGCATTCCCCATCTTTACTTTGATCTTGACTGAAGTGTCCAAAGTAGCGAATAGATTAGCATCAAATGTCATATGATTGGTACACCCACTATCAATATACCAATCTGTGCTCATTCTTGGTTGTGATTGTTGTGAAGTCATAAACAAATGTTCTTCTTGCTTGTCAATAAAACGAGCTGTTTGAACTTGTTTATCTCCTTGGCCTTGTGGAGTTTCTTGATTTTGTTTTATCCTGCAATACCTTTCAATATGCCCAAAATTTTTACAAAACCTGCATTGCTTCTTGCCTTTGTGCCAACAATCATTTTCCAAGTGATTTGTTCTGTTGCAAATTTTGCAATGTGGATATTTTCGTCTTCTATCAACTTCTTTTGTGGTAACCTCAACTCTTTCACCTTTGTAATCTTTTCCAGCAGGTTGGTTCCTCAAAGGCTCGTTTCTTGTAGGAAATGTATTTGCTTTATGCCTCACTTGGAAAGCTTCTTCAAGAGACTCCTCACTTCTTTTACTAGTTCTTTGTTCATATGCTTGTAGAGACCCAATAACCTCAGTCACAGTCAACTTTCTGAGATCCTTTGATTCTTCAATAGCTGAAATTTTTTATTCAAACTTTTCAGGCAAACTAATCAAGATTTTTTCAATTATTCTTTGATCATAAATTTTTTCTCCATAAAACTTCATCTAGTTCACAACCTCTATGAGTTTTGAAGAATACTCCTTGATAGAATGTGCTTCAGTCATCTTCAACATCTCAAAATTTTCTCCTCAACATTTGCAGCTTCACTGTCCTAACTCTTTTTGTGCCTTGAAACTCCTCCTGCAACAAATCCCATGCCTTTTTTGCTATGGTTACAGCAACAATTCTTGTAAAAATATTTTCTGATACAGCAGAAAGGATGAATGAAAGAGCATTATAATTTTTGGTAAAGTCTTCTTTTTGTTGTTTAATTTGTGCTATAGTTTGATCTTGTGCCTCGTTTACAGGCTCAAAACCCTTTTCTACAGTTTCCCATAGATCATAAGCCATCAAGAAGGCTTTCATCTTTACTGCCCAAAAATAATAACTTTCTCTAGTGAAAATAGGAGGTGCAGGCAAAGAAACACTTGTTGTTGCCATGAAAACTATTTTCTCAGACCCTTAAGATCATAAATGCTCTAATACCATGTGAATGTTTGAATGGAGAAGAGTTCTTTTGATGATGATGCTGAAAGAAAAACTAAGATGCTGCTGGAAGTAAAAAAAAAATGATGTTGCTGGAAAGAAATTGAGATGTAAAAGAGCAGAAAGTTCACTTCTCTATATAAAAAACGTGTGTTTTTTTTACATACACACATCCCCTTTGATAAGTTTTCAACCACTCTACCTACTACATAAGACTTCAAATTTTTACACCATCTATTCTACAAAAAGTACAGACAACTTTGCTTAAATTAAGTTAAAATCATACATTACAAAAGTCATTGCATCAGTAAAAGTTATTGCCCTGTACAGCAAAAAGGTCATTATATCAACACTTCCATTTTCTTTATCGCCCTTGCATGCAGATTTTCCCAATCAGGGAAGAAGAGCTTAGGTTTATAAAATTGAATCGTCATTTTCCAATCGTAGCAACTTCAGGTGCTGAAGTGCATACAAGTAGTAGAAACTGTGACATTGTACACAAGTTGTTTGACAAAATGTCTGATAAACTCCTACCAAGTTCACCATTTCTAGAAGGACCCAGAAGGATGGAGAAGAAAGTGCAGCAACTAATTCTGTTATTATTGGAAGTTGTGGAGGATAAGTAGTTAGAAAGAATCTATAATTAAAGTGGCGTCCAGTTGTACAAGGGGAGGAATTGAGTGAATGGAGTGAGGCTTAGGAGAGAGTGGCCTTCTCAAAAGGCTGCTTGTATCTTTTCTCTATTTTCTGTAATTTTCATTCAATCAATACAAAGTATCTTTGTCGTCATATTCATCTTTTCATTGCAATTACAAATGGTTCCTACCAAAATGGTACCAGAGCAATCATTTTGGCCTGGGACGAGTTAATTAAATGATTGATTATTAACATTTACCTTTAGTTATGTTATTAGTTGCTTATCCAGAATTAAAAAGTTGCACATTAGTCACTCACATTTAAACAAAGTAACTCATTCATCATCCATATCAATTTTGTTAGTCTACGTGGACAAAAAAAATCCACATGACATATGGAAATCCTACATGGGATCTAACATTATTAAAAATGACGGCCGAACAAAACAAAATCAATTCAAAAGCATTTTCTCTTAAGATGGGAAGAATGTTCTTTATCTTTTCCATGTCCATCCAGTTCTAAATTTTCCCAATCTTCACAGCCAAAAATCAATTTCTTTCCCCACAATTCATCCCGAGATTGGCTTCTCATCAATTGAATCTGAAATCAAGAAACAATATCTCCTTCCCAAGTTTGTTGAGAAAATGCAACCAACCTGTTGCTTCTGGAATTCATTTGTTAACCTTCTATTTTCCATGTCTGTATATGAGCATGGTCCTTCCTACATTGCTTTCATTATTTATGTAAGAGGTCCTAAATTATATCCCTTTAGTATCTATGTTAAAAATTAAAAACTGGCAGCTATGTAACAGAAGAATGCCCTCAAAGAAAGCTGACGAAAGGAGCGAAATCTTATGAATTCGAAGAAAATAATGGAAAGCTTCTTGCAGAAGGAAGAAAATCCAAAGAAAGTAAGTTATTTGATAAAAAAAAATTGAGATGTAGGATACAGAGTTGCTGAAATCCTCAAATATCCTCAAAAAAAAATCCTTGAAATGCTCTCGAATCTTCTTGGGGTCAATAGGCTGACCCGACGATTGATGCCAAGGGTTATCAGGTTCGATCCATGGTACATATTGGTGAGAATGAGTGTGGAGAAATTGTGGTGCGATTTTGGAGGTGGAAGCAGCGGTTGCCACGCGGCAAGCACAATCTTGAAGTAAAACGGGCAGTTAA